CAACTTACCTGGCTGCTTCTTGCTCTGACTGAGGGCTGCTGGGAGCAGGGGGTGGGGCTTGTTGCATGTGCCCGCCCCCTGGGCTCTTTACTGCCGGAGCTCCGCTCCTGTGCACTCCTGCAGGAAATGACCCCTGAGCGTCTTAAAGAATATCTGCTTCATGACTTACATTTTTTCAATAAGTTGCTTCTCATCCAAAGCACTAGGAAGGTCTCTCTTGTTTCCAAGCACTAGAACCTTAAAAGGGAAAACATTGCATTTAATTGCATCTTGCCTCTTCCTTTGATCAAAGCAGCTTACATTGTATTTAAAGAGAACATTGATCAATTCCTTGCAAGCGTGAAAGTCAGAGAAAGGAATATTTAAATATTTCTTGTCTAAATATGGTGTAGCATCCTCTGGAAATTTTGCCACAGATCAAAGTAGGATAGTTATACATTAGTATGTAGAACATTTATGTACAACTCTCCCCTAATTTCCACATACACACACAACTGCCTTGATGTGGTTCATCTCTATTTAGCTACGGAGGAGGAGATCATTAGCTGCACAGTGCAAAAGCAGGCAAGGTTACAAGCCCAGCTGTTCCACACCCAGGCCACGCTATTATATGTAGAGCCGCATCTGGCTAAGTTTACTAGCCATCCTGAGCTGTGATTTTAAATGTTGGTTTTTATGTTTAAGGTATTTTGTGGGTTTTTATCTATGCTGTAGGCTGCTTGAACTCCAGAAGGAAGAAAGGCAGCTAATAAATATTCTAAATAAACACTGCCATGACCTTGTCATTCCAAGCACAAGCAAACAGTTTTAATTTCCTCTCTTTTGATATTTATTCACCAATGGCCAGAACAAGCCCTTCTGCTTCCCCCTCTGGAAGCAGAATGCTCGTTGTCTGCTTAAGAACTGACCTATGTAACACATCACAGGGTTGTTGTTTTTTAAAAAAAACAAACCCAACTTCTCACATTAGCAGCTTACACTTTGACACTCAAAGGGGCACATGTGCAACTAATGACTACGCAAAGCTGCATCTCTTTCTAAGTAGCAGCTTTCCTTATTTTTACAAACTTTCACCTTCGTTTGTTAGCCTCGTGTCTCATGTTCACATGGGAGTTCTACTACTCACAGGAATTCCTTGTAGCTGTGGTTTGTCTAGTAAATTGTGCAGCTCATTTCTAGAGGCTTCTATTTTCTCACGATCTGCAGCATCGACCATATACCTGTAAAAGGAATGAGTGTAGAAATCATGTACATAACCTGACAGTCCTGTCCAGGCCGAGCCAGAAAAAAACAACCCACATCCAACTACAAGGAGAGGCTAACTAAATGACATATCCTGTAACAGGCCTCAGCAAATTGCAAGCCCAGTATGAACTTAATCAGTAGTGACTAAGAATAATGGATAATAGCCTTGTCAAAATCCTGAAATAGGCAAGCAAGGGATCTTAATAGCACAGCAGCAGCTAGGCTACACTGCATTAACACTGGAAATTTACCACTGGAATGAAAGTCCAGAAGTCTTGTGTATTTTATATCACTTATAAACAGCAGTTTTGTCCCTAGGAAAACTGAGATTGCTGAACACAATGCCTTGGATCCATGGCAGAAGTCTCCTTCCAGTGAGAGAGAAGATGCATTGTCACCAATTCAACTGTCCCATAGCATCTGCTTCCTGGGAGCTGTTCCATAGCATCTGCTTCCTGGGAACAGCATTTCAGGGAACGCAATGGGATGCAGCAGGAAAGGGAAAACTAGACAACTGCATTTCTTTCACCAATTTCTTCCTGAACAGTTAGAGGAAGAATAGAATATAGCTGTATATTAAATATTTGTGGAGCACCAAAAAAACCAGACGCTGTACAACACAGCACAAAAAGCAGCCACAAAAGGCCTATACTTACACAATAGCATTAACTCCTCTGCAGTAGCGCTCCCACATGCTTCGGAAACGTGGCTGTCCTCCTATATCCCAGATCTTTTTAAAGATATGGGGGGGGGGGGGGGGAGAAGCTCCATTTAAAATTTGAGAGTCATAACAAAAGGAAGCTACATTGACTATGAAATCCAAAAATGATCTACTCCAAGAGTAACCCGTACCGAGCATCTGCTTCTTACTGTACAGAAAGCAAGACTTCCTTATCCAAAGATGCTGACATCTGTAACCTTCTCAAAGACCTGAACCCTGCGGATCATTTCCATCAACAGAACTATTCCCATCACCAGAGCACAATTTCTTCACCTCCCCTCCCCTGCTGCAGCCCCAAATGCCCCCTGAAATGCTGCTCCTGGGGGGGGAGCAGCATTTGGGGGGAGGTGATGGAATTGCACTACACTGACATAAACCCTGCCAAAGTGTTCCATGAGATCCAAGCCAACAGGCCCCTGACTTTGTCATTTAGTTAGCAGGAATACCTCTTCCTAAAGTTCATGTGCTGACCTGGATGAGTCACTCATTTTCTTTATGGAGTTTTACGTTCCAAGAACATACTGCTACATACACATACTACACCAATGGTGATGACAGCATATTTATACCCAACAAATTAGTGCCACTCCTGACAAGTGGCAAGGACTGAACAAATCTACTCTCTGCAGCCAACTTTAGGGAGGCAGAAAAGATACACCAGATGCTGTTCCTCTGCTACCTGGACACTCCTTCTCCATTAGTCAGAGGCCAGCATATGCTGCCCTAAGGTTTCTTTTCAAGTTGTTGCCTAATTTACACAGTATTTTAAAAGGGGCACATGATCCACTCTCTAGTCCTAATAAGCAGTTAGATATGCTATGTTCTCTGTAATTGTAGTAGGTAATAAAAATCATGGATGTGTGTAATGTGTAGCTGAATAAATTACATATGGACTAAAATAGGCGGGGTTAAGAGGGAAGAGTTCCTTTATTCCTTCTGACCTCAGCCCATTCTCATTTGCTAGGGCATTCCAAACAGTAATGTCAGCAGCTTAACAAATCTGCCTTTGCACTGAATTCTACAAACCTTTATTGTGACGTTACCCTTCGTAACTTTCCGCATGTTGAAGCCCACTGTAGGAATCATATCTTCACTGAACTGACCTGACTGAGAAGAAAACAGAAAATATGCTCATCAGCAGGACAACAGGCACAGGATCGCTCAAGCAGCTTAGCTGGATTTTTAAATACATATCTATGCCTACTGTTGTATTTTTGATGGTTGCAATGCTATACCACAGTTATTTAAAATGCAGAACAAGTAACAAAGACAATGTTTCTTCTTACAGTCAGAAGAAATTTGAATATAGAATACCAAGAAGTATTGTATGTGAGTCAATAAAAATCAAAGGTACTAAATGAGAGGAGTAATTGGCACATGCTGAGTCCCATGCAGATTCCTGTTGACTTTTAAGTCAAGAAGCAAGCGTGGAAATAGTTTCCACTCCCCAATATGACAGTGAAAGTCAAGCATGCCCCTCCCAAGGAGTCATAAGCTAACAAGCGTGTTAAGAAATTGCATTAGCCACCCAAGTCAGAAAAATGCCTCAGCTTTTTGAAACTGGGTACCAACCCAAACAGACGTAATCCCAAATAGCTGAGGTGACAAGATAATATCTGGAAGAACCTGAACAGCTTCACGTGGGAAGCTTTACGAGCATCACAAATTGCACAATTTCCAGATATCCAGGTTGACAGTCTGCTTCAAGACGTCTCTAGACCTAATAAACTGGGGGGATATTTCACAAGTTCTAAGGCTGCAATATAGTGTGCTATAGCATGAATCATGGACCACATTTCAACATTTTTTTCAGCAGAGGCGGAATTATTTTATTTATTACATCCCACTCTCCTCAAAAGTGGGCTCATACCATAGACTGTGTTCTGTTCTCCCTGACCCACAGTTACTGTAAAGAATCTCTTGCAGATTGGTGCTATGGAAGTAGTGCTATGGAAATGCAACCCCGTATCTACTGTTCTCCTGCAATATAATATGCCTATCCCACTGCAATATATTATGCCTACCCTATGAGACATCAAAATCTAGTGGCAAGGTACACAAGACTACAAGCCACCAACTCAATGGAGTACAAAGATGCTTCAAAGTAAGATTTCTTCATGCCAGTGCTATTAAACCAACAGAAAGTTGGACATGGGATAGACAGTCTAGCACTTGCATCATCAACTGCAAACACACATGGCAAATGCTCAAAATAACTACAGGAGAGTTCCATAGTGCAAACTTGGAAGATGGAAAGCAGAAGTTCCAACAGGCTAACTGCAAGTGATAGGCTTTACATATCAGGACCAAATGAAAATATATCTGAAAACCTGGCCAAGACGTGCAGCAGAACATCTACAGGGATCTTCAGTAAAGGCTACAGATGAGAGGGCCAGGCTTTCAGAAAGAATTACTAGCATATACTACAGGAATAATCCAACTTGCCCCAGGAGAGTTCAAAGAAGAATGGATGTAACATATTAAGCATGCTACCAAACTCTGATAAACCCAGTACTTCACAAATGTTCTGAAGGAGATAAAATTGGCAAAGGTTGTTCAATGTTACTGGGAAAATTAGTAGCTAATGGAACTGACAAACACAGACAAGCTTCCCACACTGCCATTCTTCAAAATTTATGATAGTTCATTTCAACAGAGGGGTTTTCTACCTTTTGCCAAGTTCACACACACACACACACACTTGCCAACATGAAGGTCTATTTGAAAGATGTATCCAGTCTAAGATACACTTTCAACTGGTGCCAAATTATCAATCTCCTTTGTTAAATTAAACTACCACTTGGCTCTCCTAACTCTACTTCTGAGACTGAAACAAGGCAGGGAAACACTAGGCAAAGTCTTACTCTAAGCTTTTTATTATCATTATTACCAGCAATGGAAATCTATTCCAGAAGTCCTAGGGGTAATAGCAGTTTTTTAGCCTATTTACCACTTTAGAGAAACAGGGCTGGCAAAACTTTAAATCGTTCACATTTATAGACTGAATCAGTTTCCATTTCCCAAATTTCCCTTGATTCCTGTTTTCCATTCCATCCCTCACTCCACTCTACACACACTCTGCTTGTCTGCTTGTCTTACTCAGTTCAACCACTGCGACAAAGAAACAGAACGTTCCTCATTTAACTCAGAGTCACTACAACTCAAGTCGTTCTGTCCACAGCAATCTGCAAGTCTCCATGCCATCATTCATGTCAGGAGGCAACACTAAGCATTCTGTCTTAGCTGTCGCTCAGCCCTCTTCAAAAAGCAGCTTCACGTAGAAAGTGTTCCAATAATCAATACAAAAGGTTAACACAGCATGTATGACTGAGCTCAAATTCCTGCCAGAGAACTGCTCACTGTTGGCTCACCAGCTAAATGAAGTACCTTAGGCCAACACAGCAACTTGAGAGTCAGTGAGAAGGCAAAATCCAGGAGAACCTCTAAGCCACATTTCTTGCCCTTCAGGGATAATGTAACCCCATTTTGGAAACATAAAACTGACAGTGTTCCGACTTTAGACTGGTCTTCCATAAACCTTGTTCTACTGTGGATTAGGCTTTAGCGTGTCGGCCCTCATCCAACCTATAACTCATCCAAGCCCAGGCATTCAGAGGCTGGGCTGCTCCTGGATGAGTTGACTATGTAAGAGAAGAAATTAGATCACTAATATGGCATGCGAGTGTGGAGCAGTCTGTCCCAGTGGTTGGCCAGAGATGTAGATGCATTAGTGGCAAGATGGAAATCTGCAGTACCCTAGAAGCCCAATATTGTCAGATCTCGGAAACTAAGCAGGGTCAGCCCTGGTCAGTATTTGAATGGTAGACCACCAAGGAATACCAGGGTCATAAGATGGAGACTGGCAATGGTAAACCACCTCTCAGTGTCTCTTGCTTTGAAACCCCATGGGGCTGCCATAAGTCAGCTGTGACATGACAGCAAGAAAAAGATGACGACCACCCTCTGTCACAGGGTAATGTGGAAGTCACTATGCTACCGTGTAATGCCAGCCTGCTGGCGAGCAGCAGGACCAGTGCCACATAGCAGCTCCAACTCCATTTTTTTCAGGTGATTCAGAAGGATCTGACTATTAGTCAAACTATTAGTCAAACCTCCAGAAAAATGAGCAGTCCTACTCCCTCTGCCCAACTTGAACGAAGGCTACCACAATGATGATTATATATGGATACAATCACCACTGTCCTCTTTAAAAGAGACCCAAGCTGCACTGCCTTACTCTGGAGCCACCATCACCTCAATAGATAGGGTTATACTAGAAGGAAAGCCTTTTACCTGCACAGTATACTACTTTACTACTGATATTGTAATTTCTTAGTTATTCAATAATGTTCCTAACAAATACATGGTAAAAAAGTAAAGGTTCCCTTGCTCGAAAGCCAGTCGAATCCGACTCTAGGGTTGCGGTGCTCATCTCCGTTTCAAAGCTGAAGAGCCAGCGCTGTCCAAAGACATTTCCGTGGTCATGTGGCCGGCATGACTAAACACCAAGGTGCACTTTTAAAACACTCTAGATCTGACCACAGCACAAATGGACCCTCATAAAAACAATGAGTCCAGTAAATAGGTCAGCATTTACTTTGTAACTGTTTGGCATGCATTGTAAACATATATAATTTTGTAGAAATTATATATAGACCTCTGAACAGGACACATAATTTGTCATTCTTCTCTTATATGCAGAGCCCTGAGACATACAGCTGTCACTGAGAACTCTGGGATATTATGCCTTCTTTCCAAGAATCTAGAACTATTAGGGTACATGCGTTTTCTGCAATGAACCTTAGGCAGAGAGATAACCTGTCCAAGGCTATGTGGTCATTTTCATAGATGAATAGGATTTCAGCTCAAGTCTGCTCACGTCCAACACTCTATCTAGAGGCTAAGTGAAGTGGATTCGCTTCTGGAAGTTCTATGGGTTGAAATAGGGGGGCCAAAAGGAAACTTAACACTGGGAGTTTGTTATCGCCCACCATATCAAAAGATAGAGGAGGATTATAAAATGATGAATGCCTTAAAGATAGCAGCTAGACAAAACCACTGTGTCATAATAGGTGATTTTAACTACCCACACATTGATTGGGTCAATATGTGTTCTAGTCGGGAAAAAGAGATTGAGTTTCTAGACACTCTAAATGACTGTGCTATGGAGCAGATGGTCACGAAACCTACCAGGGGAGAGGCGATCCTTGATTTGGTCCTAAGTAACACTCAAGACCTAGTGAGAGATGTAAAAGTGATTGCACCGCTTGGGAACAGTGATCATAATGTTGTTGAGTTCAACATTTGTACAAATAGAGAATTGGCCAAAAAGACTCACACAACCACTTTTAACTTTAAAAGGGGTAATTTCTCTGATATGAGGGGACACGTGGGGAGGAAACTGAAAGGAAAAGTAGAAAGGGTCAAAACAATTGGGGAAGCTTGGAAACTATTTAAAACTATGATCCTAGAAGCTCAAAAAAAATATATTTCACAGGTTAGGAAAGGCATAAACAGGTATAGGAAAAAGCCTGCATGGTTAACAAACAGAGTAATGGAAGCTGTAAAAAGTAAAAAGAATTCCTTTAAGCAGTGGAAAGCTAGTCACAGTGAGGCTGATAAAACGGAACACAGGCTATGGCAAATAAAATGCAAGTCTGAGGTCAGGCAGGCAAAAAGGGAATATGAGGAGCATATAGCAAAAAACGTAAAAACCAACAATAAAACTTTCTTCAAATACATTAGAAACAGGAAACCAGCCAGGGAGGCAGTGGGGCCCTTGGACGACCAAGGGGTAAAAGGAGTATTGAAGGATGATAGGGAAATGGCTGAGAAGCTAAATGCATTTTTTGCCTCCGTCTTCACTGTGGAAGATGAGAAGTGCTTGCCCACTCCAGAACCACTGATTTCAGGAGGGGTGTTGGAAGACCTGAGTCAGATTGAGGTGATGAGAGAGGAGGTCCTAAAACTGATAGACAACTTAAAAACTGAAAAATCACCAGGCCCAGATGGCATACATCCGAGAGTTCTGAAAGAACTCAAATGTGAACTTGTAGATCTCCTGACAAAGATATGTAATCTTTCCTTAAAATCTGCCTCCATTCCTG